TGCTGGTCAAGGCGAAGGACGAGGTGAGGCTGCGCCTGGCACGGGGCTCAGAGCTGCAGGGCAGGGGCTGAGGAGTGTGAAACCAAACTGAGAGCTGTGTGTAAAATGAAAATCAGAGCCGTGTGTAAAATGAAAATCAGAGCCGTGTGTGAAACCAAACTGAGAGCCGTGTGTGAAACCAAACTCAGAGATGTGTGTAAAACCAAAGAACTGTGTGTGAAACCAAACTCAGAGATGTGTGTAAAACCAAACTCGGAGCTGTGTGTGAAACCAAAGAACTGTGTGTAAAACCAAACTGAGAGCTGTGTGTGAAACCAAAGAACTGTGTGTAAAACCAAACTCAGAGATGTGTGTAAAACCAAACTCAGAGCTGTGTGTGAAACCAAAGAACTGTGTGTGAAACCAAACTCCGAGCTGTGTGTGAAACCAAACTCAGAGCTGTGTGTAAAACGAAAATCAGAGCTGTGTGTGAAACCAAACTCAGAGCCGTGTGTGAAACCAAACTGAGAGCTGTGTGTAAAACGAAAATCAGAGCTGTGTGTAAAATGAAAATCAGAGCTGTGTGTGAAACCAAACTGAGAGCCGTGTGTGAAACCAAACTCAGAGATGTGTGTAAAACCAAACTCAGAGCTGTGTGTGAAACCAAACTCAGAGCTGTGTGTGAAACCAAACTCACAGCTGTGTGTAAAACGAAAATCAGAGCTGTGTGTGAAACCAAACTCAGAGCCGTGTGTGAAACCAAAGAACTGTGTGTAAAACCAAACTGAGAGCTGTGTGTGAAACCAAACTCACAGCTGTGTGTAAAATGAAAATCAGAGCTGTGTGTAAAACCAAACTCAGAGCTGTGTGTAAAACCAAACTGAGAGCTGTGTGTGAAACCGAACTCAGAGCTGTGTGTAAAAGGAAACTCAGAGCTGTGTGTGAAACCAAAGAACTGTGTGTGAAACCAAACTCAGAGATGTGTGTAAAACCAAAGAACTGTGTGTGAAACCAAACTCACAGCTGTGCCCTGGTGCAGAGCAGGGGCTCAGGAATGTAAAAACCAAAATGCTGAGGCACCAAAACAGCACGGGACTTGAAAAACAGAGAAACTGGAATCTAAAGGCACCAACAGTGGGATTTGAAAAACAGAGAAGTAGAAATCTTAAGGCACCAACAGCAGGGCAGGATTTGAA